AAAAAAAAAAAAAAAAAAGAACAAGTTATTTTTAAAATGAAGCTTTCTTAGTAATTCAGTTCCTAGTATGTATAGTGAATGATTGATAACAAGAGTTCATTCCGTAGGGACCAAAATCGTCCCAAATAAAGCAATTATCATTAATTTGTAGTAAAATACTTCAAATTAAAGTTATTTAAATTTGTTGCTATGTGCCATGGTTTGACTGTGTCTCCATCCAAATCTCATCTTGAATTGTAGCTCCCTTAATTCCCACATGTTGTGGGAGGGGCCCAGTGGGAGATAATTGAATCACAGGGTCGGTTCGCCCATACTGTTCTTGTGGTAGTGAATAAGTATCATGAGATCTGACGGTTTTATAAGAAGAAATCCTTTTGCTTGGCTCACATCCTCCCTTCTTGTATGCCACCATGTTAGACATGCCTTTTACCTTGCACCATGATTGTGAGGTCTCCCCAGCCATGTGGAATTGTGAGTCCATTAAACCTCTTTTTCCTCATAAATTACCCAGTCTCGGGTATGTCTTTATCAGCAGCTTGAAAACAGACTAATACAATATGTAATAAAAACTAAGTAAAATTCAAAGTGTTCTATGAAAGTCTACTTAGTGATTACAAATATTCTGTGCAATATTTTAATATTTAAGATGATAAAATCAAAAGCAAACACATAATAGAAATAGTCTTATCTACTTTTATAATGAGTTAGGCTTATTAAAAGTATATTATTTAATACAAAAGGAGGAAACATGTACCAGTTGGCTCAATCATGGTTTCTAAAGCAAGCTATTAAATTTCTCTATAGTAACTGTTACTACCATAAATTTTTTAGCTTCTTGAATTAGAATACAAGTATGCTTAAAATCCAGGATCGGCATAGTGTAATTTTCTAAGGCAATAATTTTAACTTGGGAGTTCTAGAAGGCAGAAAAAATTTGAATTAATCCTTATAACAAAAATCAAAGATAAGAGTTAACTACGGTAACTGTGAATTACTGCCTTAATTTTTAAGTGAAAAACTACAGCACTAAATGGTAAAGAATATAAAGGAGACCATTAGTCATCTTTCTTTCATGAAAAAGTCCCTTGATAAGTATTTCTCTGAAACAGAAAAAGAAACCCAGCAATAGTTCAGAGACTATCTCTGACACAAGTAACTTGACCTCTTGACAAGCTATTATTGATATTTCCAATAACAAAAGCCTGACCATTTTGCATCCTACCACCTCGTACTGTTTTCCTTTATACCTACCCTTGATGCAAGCCACAATTGTAAAGACTGGCTTCCTCCTTGATAGAGAAAAATCAAGTTACACCACTGTCGAAAGTACCTTGAGCAAAACTTTAAAACCCAAGTGCCATTGATGTAAAATATAAAGGTTACCAAATCACATGCTATAAAACTAACTTTCAATATTAAAAATCTGTGAAAACAGCATCTAAAAGTAACTAATTACATTTTTAATAAAACACAAACTTGGCCCCTTTTCTTTACCAACTGTCAAACT